CCACAAACCGCCCAAAGTCAAGGTGAGGGTCACACAACGACTCTTGAAGGACCCTGGCGAGTTCCTTCTGGCTCTCCACCCTTTGCCCCTCATCTTCTGGTTGGACAGCAGTTCAAACCTCACGCAGTTGAACCCTGGTGGATGCCCTGAATTTCGTTACTAAGGGACAATGAAGCCATGCTGTGTGAGGACTTTTTGTTGTTTGTTTTTAATTTAAGAACCTAACTCATTTCACAGAAGAATGATCGATATTTGCCCAAGGTAAACGATAAATAATTAAGCTGCGTAGAGTTCCCACAGAGGCACTTGTTCTTTCGGTACACAAATAAAGGGATGCAAAAGTCAACAAGCAGAAGGAGTGAGTTAATATTGTCTTCTAATCTACGGGAACTGAGAGCTCAGCTCTGGTTTGGTTGGTGACCAAAATTTCGTGATTGCTTGCACTGAATTGCTCTGTTTGACGATTTCAGCAAATGTTGCAAGACCTCTTCACTGTTGTATGACAAATAAAGCAGGTTTTTATTCTTGAAAGGCTATAGAATGTTCTCTTTGAGGAGCAAGCTGTAACACGTATAACTAGTTTAGGTATAACAACAGTAACTATTATTTACCAGGGAACAGGCTTTTGACAAATGATCTAATGATCTAAAACTGCGTTGGGCATATGTTAATATCTGTAGGTTGCATTAGCAGCAGTTGTTTTCTTACTCATTCTTGTTTGAAAACTTGGATGACGGTTTCAGAGCTTGTGCTGCTTGGACCTAGCCTGTACCTGTTGTATCCAGAAAAAGCACACTCAGTCCCTGGATTGTGTTTACTAAAAACTACTTGCTGGAGGTAACTATTCGAATTTTTAAAACTTGGCCAGGTAGTAATTCCAGGAGGGGGAAGGGAGGGGTCTCAGAATTTACTTTAACATTCTTCATTCCAGAGGCCAAGGTGGAGAGACAATGTTCCCATTTACTACCTCCCCAATAGTTTGCCCTGCTGCATTCCTTGTTAGACATATAGGAGTCCCGGGCCAGAAGAAAAAGCACATAAGGAGGAAGTCTCTAGCTCTTTGGCTCTAGTGTTAGACCATGCCTTCACAATTTAATATTACTGAGCTAGCTTCCAGTTCTAGGGCAGGCCGCAAGCCCAGGAATGACAGGGTTGCCACTGCTGAGCTCCTTATGGCAACCCTGCATTGCCTTAATGAGAGGTGGTGTCAAGATTGGTTCTTTCTGTAGTGAGAGTCTACTTTCTTTAGTGAGAGTCTTAGTTTGTGAGTTGAGATTCGCTTGTCTTTGCTGATCCATATATTCTTAAGCCACTCTGAGCCTGTTTCCTGAGTATTTGTGGAAAGTGTACGAGGTAATCTCTGGTGTTCTTTCAGCTTTAAAAATCTGCCAGTTGGACTGGATTTGGCCATTTTTCTGACTTATGCTTCATAAGCAGCAACAGAATAAGGAATTTAGTGGGAACATCATAGCCAGTTTTCTTAAGGTCTTATTCTTTATTCAAAAAAGCCTTTAATTGGATTTTAATTCTCTCTCAAATGTCTTTCAGAATACCAACTTAGAATAACAAGGAAGTAAGTTTTTATTTATTTTTTAAATATATCTTTATTGACTTCGTGGAGAGGAAAAGAGAGTGATAGTGAGATAGAAACATTAATGATGAGAAAGTCATTGATCTGCTGCCTTCTGCACGCCCCCGACTGGGGATCGAGCCTGCAACCCGGACATGCTCCCCGACCGGGAATCGAACCCCAATCGCCTGGATCCTGGGTCGATGCTCAACCACTGAGCCATGCCCGGCCAGGCAAGTTTTTATTTTTAAGAAATAAAATCTTATCCATGTAACTAACCAAATTAACTAAACCTTACACTATTAATTAAGGAAGGTTTGTCTTTGCATAGGAATTGATTTTAGAGAGAGAGAGACATCGAGTTTTTTGTTCCACTTATTGATGCATTCTTTAGTTAATTCTTGTATGTGCCCTGACCTCAGATCAAACCCACAACCTTGGCGTATCGGGACAATGTTTTAACCAACTGAGCTACCCAGCAATTTTCAACCTGTGTGCCACAAGAATTTTTAAAACATGCAACACCTGACTATTTAGTCAGGGCCACTGACCTCTTTTCCCTTAGATTGTCAAATAAAAAAATGACAACAGCCAACACAATAGCTGTACGGTGTGCATGAATCACAATTATAACCCCCACCCCTTTTTTTTTCAGATGGGCAAAAAATATTTTTGGTATGCTGCAGAATTTTAGTAATTTATGTGTACAATGAAATGAAAAAGATTGAAAATCAATGCTCTATTGCAGTTATATTTTGAAAATGGAGTCTTACAAGGTTGTAAGTTTTTTCTCTTAAAAAGCTAATTCCTACTCTTTGTTATGTGTTTGTTTAAAAGTATTTTCTTTGGATGATACAAAGTTACATTTTCACCCTGACTGGTATCAAAACTGTGAATGAGTGAAACCTGAATAAGATTCACTTGTAATAATCTAGACCTGACTAAATACTTTGAGAGCTTTCTTACCTGTTCAACATTTTGTGCTTATTTTCCTGCAGTAACACTTTATATATTTGACTTATTTTGATGGAATTGGTTACTTCCCTAAGTTTTACTTTGTGAGTTTTTCATGTATATAACGTAAGTACATTTCTTAATACTCATATTTATTTATGTGATTAAAAAAGTAATGATCAAATTTTAGTGATATTTGGAAGATCATACTGAAGAAGAATTTTAAAGCTATATATTGAGTTCTTACTATGTAGCAGGTACTGAGCTAGATGCTTCACATCTGTTATCACTAATCCTGAGACTAAACAACCCCACGGGACAATATTCTTATACCCATTTTACAGATAAAGAACCAGAGACTTAAAAAGTACTGCAGGATTCTAAGCACATCTGCCAAAATCCCTGCTCTTTTTTAATGTCCAAAGACTTGGCAAAAAATGCTGATTTCATAAATGAAAATATGTTTTTTTATAATTGTTAGTTAACTGATAATCCCAACTGAAACCTTCCTGTACTTCAAAATTGCCTATTGCCCAGGTGGTGGCAGCATGTGTCAGAGAGCTGTTGGGGTGCAGAAGGTTCTCTCCCAACCTCCACAGTTGATTTGCTGCTGCATCTTACATACGTGGCCTGTCTACCAACCTCTCACTTCTCTATGGGATCCTTTCACTATTAGACCAAGTGATCCCATCCTCTCCTCAGTCTTGTCTTCCGAATGGGTCATACTCTGTCAATTTGCTTTCAGCCTGTTTTGCCTGCAAAAGCATCACCAAATTATTATTTTCTAGAAAGTTCATTTATTTCTATTCAGTAACATATAATTTTTTTTTCAAATTTTG